GTCGTGGCTGACTCCGTCCTTGTCGCCTAGCCTGGTCCGCTTGGCTTAACTGGACCTCGATCGTTTAGACTTTCGCTAGTTGGTGTATCATGGGCCGCTCAGCCTGCTAGCTAATCGATTCCTTGAGATACCCGGGGATCATAAACCCGACATATACGCTATCAATAAGGAGCAAGATGCATCTGTGGAATTTATGAAGCAGAAAAGGTGGCGTCTCACATTTAGAAGATGGTTGCACGAAGATTTGCAAAATCAGTTGAGGCGATTACATGATATTTTGATTTGTTGTGGTACAAATGAGGAAAAAGATAGAACTAAATAGTATTGGGAAAATCTGGTGTTTTCTCGGTTAAGTCGACTTATAAGCATCTTTGTAAAAATGACTATGGGCTTAACTAAGAAAATATGGAAAGCCAAAATGCCCTTGAAGATCAAAATTTTCATGTGGTTAGTTTCGCAAAATGCTATACTAAGTTACTAACTAAGGATAACCTGATCAAAAGGAAGTGGAAAGGTGACAATACTTGTGCTTTCTGTGATGAGAAGGAAACTGGAAATCATCTGTTTTTTTATGCTTAACCGCAAAATATATTTGCAGCCTGCTGGCTTATTCCTTAGGAACAGACAGTAGACCTAGGGATATTGATCAATATTGGATTTGGGTTCATAATATTCTCCCTCAGGGTTCACAAATGCATGCTGTGGGTTTATCTGCCGTGTGCTGGGCTATATGGCGAGTTAGAAATACTGTGTGCTTTGATAAGAAAAGAATCAAAACTCCTGAGATTATTTTTATGATGTGCTCTTTTCTTACATACTGGGTAGGTATGCTGAAGGACGACCTCAAGCAGCAAGTGATACAAGGCGCAAAAGCTGTGAAGATGGTGGCCCTTTCATTTCACAGGCAAGATGTGCAATCCTACTCCACTGATGATCGTCAGTTGATCCTTTTGCTAGCTGAGTGCCAAATCTCGCATTTAGTCTACTCTTTGCGCCATTCTTGGTAGGTAGCGGTAATGGTTATCCGTGCTCATGTTCCCTGTGTGATCATGCGCATGGATCGTTTTATGTGGTTCTTCTGGTACTATGGTTCTTAAACTGTGACTCTATGTAATTTCGCTGGCTTTGTAATGAAATTCGGTTTTAACGTTGTAGAAAAGAAAAAATCAAAATGTTTTACGATTTGGAATGAAGAAAATTCAAAATGTTTTACGATTTGGAATGAAGGAGAGTATAGCATTCATAAATTGCATTTATTATATCAAAATAAATGTGATTTGATTATATTTTCATAATAAATCTCATAATTTTTTATACTGTTCTATAAATTTAGACATATTTAGGAGACTCAGAATCCAAAATTGTGTTCTTCTTTTTAGAATTTTTTTTAGAAGAGACATATTATTGCTGTTTTGCATTCGCAGTAACTGAGAGATTAACTATATATATACAAATAAAGCCACTCGCATGTACTGTATGTATATGTACTTTGTGAAATTTTACCGTGCTTAAAAAAACCAGAGCCCTTTATTTGATAGATTAGATGGCTATAAAATAAGAAGAACAAATATAGAGAAACTTAAATTGTGGACAAGAACCTTAAATATGTGGGCCCGAAACCAAATATATATGGACCAGAACCTTAAATATGTGGGCCCGTCCAATTCACATCGCACCGTCCACCTCCGTCTAATTCATTGGCACTGTGTCTTCGCCCTGTTCCCATCTATTCCGTGCGCACCACAATTTGCCCTGCTGCGGCCTACTCAGCGCTGCTGACGTAGTCGCGCCACCGCGGCCGTCGCCGTGTTGCCGTGCGCGCGTGGCTAGACTCACTCGAGCCGTCTCCGGTCAAGCCATCACGTCTGGTAGGTTCTGGGTAAGTTGTTGATGCCCGTTCTTGAGTTCGTTCACGTCGTTGGTGCCTTGGCTTACGGGAACATGGCCGCCGTCGCAGGGAGGAGTTCGCCGCTGTGGAGGGAGCTCGAGACAGCGTCTCCGTTCACCGCTTCACCTCCCACCACTTTGAGTTGGCGTCTAGGTGAGCATCGGCTCGCTACTGGGATCAGAGAGGCGCTGGTCTGGTCGGCGTAACCGCCCGGTGCCAGCGCCGCCGCGCCGGTGCGCGTGCGGGGGGCCCGAGGGTATGGCCGTGGGAAAGAAGGAAAGGGGGAGGGGCATAATTGTAAGATAGCTGACTGATGGAATAGTGCTATAGACCTCGGTTGGATTCGGTATTAGAGAAAGGGTGTTTTAGCAAATATACCGGCGCGCGCGGGCCGTCGTCGCTCGGCTAGGCCGCGCCCCCGCGTGGGCTGCGCCGGTAGAGCGCGAGTGCGCGCGCGTGAAGCGCCGGAGTGGGCCGAGCCGCTTGCGCAGTGGGCCGCGCGGGTGGATTCGGTTTTCTTTTTCAGTGAATTAATAGATGTTTATTTAATTTAGTTTTGAATTTATCTTTGTAAAATTATAGTAAATTTTGTAGATGTCCAAAAATAGTGAAACAAAATTTGTTAGGTTTACAAAAATGCTATCTATCTGTTGGTGTAGTTAGTTTACAGTTAGCTATGATAATGATAGATTTATAAATTCAATTTAGAAAGCTTATTATTAGTTAGCTTAATATTTGTAGGAATTTTTGTGGCAAATCAGTGATAGCTGTAGCCATGAAATTTTTACAGTAGGTTTATTAGATTATTATGTGCTCACTGTAATTTTTGTAGCCCTTGAGTAGACTGATATATAGGGTAGCTAATACTCCTTGTTTTAGTATATATAGTAAATCGGTATTAAGAGTAAGAATACCTTTAGTTGCTAAGATAGTATATGAAATGTCTCATACATGTTTAGTGGAAATGATAAGTAACGTAGCGTCTTAGTCGGTAGAGTTAATTTAGTAGCCTGATAGATGTATTTTTATTTTAATAGTTGTTGTTGTCGTATTACTAAGTGTTGCATCATTATTTCATGCATGTAGATCACGAGTTGGTAGAATTTGTGCCTGCGGACGAACAGGACTACGAGGAGATTATCGAGGAATACGAGGAGGAGGTTCTCGTACAGGTGGGAGCCCTGGAGCCGTTCGTTGCTGACTTTGTTGACACACCGCCTGTCCAAGTCAAGCTCCGGTGCATAACCCTTATTTTAAATGATCACTGGACATATATGATGTACATTTACGTTACAGGTATTTTATGAAAACTACATGTATAAATATATCTACCTATGAGTCTTACTAATATAGGTCGAGTGGCTGCTATGCTCAAGATTTTGTTAGCGTGAGTAACATGTCGTTACTCATAAAAGGTGATTATTATCACTAATGATAAAATAGGGGGAAAGGAAAAATAGAGACCGGACAGGGATATGGTTTGGGTATTGGTGGGTGTAAGAGGTTGTTGAGGCAGAACCTCCTAAGAAATTGGGTCCACGTGTATCTATCGTTGTCTCAACAGACCTCTGATAGCGTACACAAGTTCCCAACAACTTAACAGGTCTGTCGGGTGTCCTCGGGAAACCCGAATCATCCACGAATCTTTTTCAAACAGGATCACAATCACAGACATTACAGATTACAACAGTTTTCGATATACATACCAGAGATTGTAAAGTGGAAGACTTAAGTTTTAATATTACAAACCAGTTGTTTCAAACTTATAAAACCATAAGTGTTATACAACCATAGTAACAGGATAATATTACATTAACATTATTTATTTCATACAAACTAGTGACTTGTCCAAAGGCCATTCATCGTTCCTCATCGTCATCGACTTCAAAAAAAAAAATTTAAAGGGCAGAACAGTACTTTCTGGTTTCTACCCCTTATCTCCTGTACGAGCTGTGTCTCTTTTATCTCCTTGTATCCGCAGATCCATCTATCGCGGTGGCCACCCGGTGGCGGGCGCGGGGCTCACCGGCACGCGACCCCCGGTGGCGCGGCCCCCATGAGGACAGTGATGATCCTCGTTGGAGGACGGGTACCAGCTCTCGCTCACCGCCCGGATCAAGCCACCAGGGATGATCCGCCGTCAGAGCGTCTTGGGCCAGTGCGGCCAGTCGAAGGAGTTGACGACCTTGAGCGTCGCCGCGTCCACGCCGCTGTCCATGTTGATGGGCACCTCGTCGCCCAGGTAGTAGGCGCTCGATCCGCAGCGACGTCCCCAGACGCAGCAGCGACTTGGCGCAGTTCTACGTGATGCGCATCCGGTTCACCGAGATGCGCATCCGGTTCCAGTCTGCAGCAAGATCAGATCACTACTCTGCAGCAGATCAGATCGATGGAAGTGAGCTTGTTGCTATGCATCCATAGCGATGGCGTGGCGGCATGCATGCAAACGATGCAGAGATGCAGGTGCTTACTTGGTAGTGACTAGTGAGGCGACGCTTGAGGGTGGCCATCCTGAGCACCTTGGAGACAGAGGTCCTCGGACGGAGGACGAGCGCGGTGCGGTTGACGGCGGCCATGCGGAGCGCCTCCTTGACCTTGGCGTCGATGTCGGCGAGGGTGGGGCACATTTAACTTTACCCATGCTGGGGTTGTGCATCCGAACGATGCCCTTCATTCTGCTGTAGACGGCCTGGAGCACGGACACCTCAGTAGCGCGACGGCCTGGACTCTGCGCAGACGCCGATGCCGAGTTGAGACGGCGGCAAGGCTCTCACCGGGTCAAGCATCCCATATTACCCTTACTTTTAATTATCCTAGGTATTTTTTACGGCCCAATAATTATTCCACGGGAGGAACCACGCGGGTTCCTGTCGAGTACCATGACAAAGCTCATAATACTTTTATGAAGAAAAACGATGTAGCATGCACAACATAAACAGTACACGGACCAAGTTACACACATACAAACTCACACCACACAAAAAGCTGAAACTGTCCCTGTCACACGAGCGGTCGTGATTAAGGGTAGGGACACTTATTCATGGCCGGGTTCATCTTATTATCTACGGAACACAGTGACCGTAATTAAGTACGGCTTTCACACGCCGGACGATTAGTGCTGTCCGGGCAGCTTCTCCTTGATCTTGTCCATGATGCCTTTCTTCTCGCCGGTGCCCTCGGTACCGTAGGTTCCGCCGCCGGTGGTTCCGCCGGTGTGTCCCTGCTGCTGCCCGTAGGCGCCGCCGGTCGCCGTGGCGTGCTGGTTGTCCTTGTGGCCTCCGGGTCCCTGCTGCTGCCCGTAGGCGCCGCCGGTCGCCGTGGCGTGCTGGTTGTCCTTGTGGCCTCCGGGTAGCTTCTCCTTGATCTTGTCCTTGATTCCCTTCTTCCTCCTTCCGCCCATGCCGTCGTCCTCAGACTTTCACAAAACCATATTATAAGATTTAGCACCATGAAGCAGCGTATATAGAACAGACAAAGAAAAAAAAATTTCCTAGTAATTACCGAGCTGGAGCTGGAGCTGCCGGAGCGATGCAGGATGCCGCCGGTCTTGTGCTCCTCCCTCGCTGGCTGGAACTGCCCACCACCCATGCCAGCGCCGCCGGTTCCGGTTCCTGTACCGTACCCCATGCCGCCGGTTCCGGTGGTGCCGTGCTCGACGCCGCCGACTGGGTTGCCGTACTGGTCCACACGGCCCGTGGTGCCGTGGCCGTGCTGTCCCTGCTGACCGTACTCCATGGCTGCACGGTTTGGTGGTTTCTCCCTAGGCTAAGCTAGAGCTGTGCTTGTGTGCTCGTCGTGTTCTCGCTGTGGCTCACCGGTGGCGAAGCTGGTGAAGGTCGACGCCGCCATTTATAGGCGGCAGGACGGTGAAGGGGTTAGGATCTGGGCGCCACGGCAGGGGGGTACGTGGGCATGCATGAATGGATTGGAAGCCCCGAGCCCCGTGGGAACATTACACGTAGCGACGGGCGCGGGCGGGACGTGTGCAGGGCGCTCTGCTGCGTCGGTGCGCCACGTCTCGGTTCTTCGGGAAAGATAAAAGATGGGTACGCCGGCGCTGCCATCACGTGTGCAGGGCACTGGGACTGTGTTGCGGTTCCTTGCTCCGGCCATTGACGGCTAGGTGTTGCCTGCCTGTGTTGGTCCTGCCAACATCTCATGGCACATCATCAGAAAGGTAATAACTTAAGAACAGATAAACAAAATGCTTACTCATGCAACCCTGGATCGCCACAGTAATGCTCATAAGTTTGGCATCTTTAACATGCAGTAGTAATGTTCAGTTCTTATGAACTCCTCAACACTTGCAGCGTATTAGTTCCTATGAAATCATAATACTAGTATGAATACAGCATGCGGTTGCTATTTGCTACCGATTACTCGATTAGGCGAGATTACTGAACACCGACAGAGCCAGGAATGGTTGAGCCGTTTCAGAGCTACATATATGTACTAATTCCTACTGTACTCTTGGTGTAACACCCTGAATTTTGGTCTAGTTTAAAAATAACTAAAAATCTGAACTTTGGGCCTATTCGCTTTACTGAAAAGCAATGGCTAACAGTACCGTTCGCTCATTTGTTGTGAAAGAGAAAACACTGTTCGTTCGCTGAAATAGTACGGCTCATAAGACAAGCAAGCAAGGCCTTTGTAAAAACTTTGCATAGGAACTAATAAATAAGGGTCTATCTACACAACTGTCAACAGATTTCAGAACCAAAAATCTGTCAAGTTCTAGACAAATGAGATGATGACACGTCATAATGGAAAACTGACAGATTCAAAAAGAAAAAATCTGTCAGATTTTTATAACACAAGACAATATCCAACAATATCCAAAACCCGTTAACAAATACAACTAAAAGTTATCAACTAAGCGTAAAGACTAAAGAGCATAGCAAAGTTGACGCACGCCTGCACTACACATGCATACATATTCATCTTTTTTTTTTTGCTTTTGCTTTTGCTCTTGCGAGGACTAACTAAACTGATGGATGTTGCAGCTGCAGTTCTTCTCTTTTCTTACTATGCTGTGCCTGCCATCCCCAAGCCTCATCGTCACTGTGCTTCTTACCATCACAAGCTCTGACTCCTTTGGTTATGGTTCCTGGCTACCTCTTCCCCATTCCAATCTGAACATAACATCTTGCAGTTGCAACCACTCCCAATAAGTTATCTATGCATGCAAAACAACAACTGCAGTTTACTATTGCTCCAACATCCAAGATGCAACAGTAGCGCAACAATAAAACGCGCACGCGCATGCAAACATCAAATCTTGCAAAACACATGTACACAAGCAAGAAAGCCCACCAATTTCAGTGACAGGCAGAAGGACAAAACACAGTAAGGCCAGTGTGGTTGGGATTGGACACTGGTTCAAATACTGAAGAGAAAACATATAAAGCCTCTGGATTGGGTATGAAATTAGCTTGTAGTGTCTCATCCCTATTGATCTGGGCCCCATTTCATCGAAGCGTAGAACCGTTAGAGAGACACTTGTTGTCCATTAGCATTCAAAGCTGGGCATTGCCCACAAGGCTTCATAGCTTTGCTAAGATGGACTAGAATATCAATAGCATAAGATTTGGTCTGACGAGACAGCATTAAAATGGAACCATATCTCTAACAAATTCAATAATGAACCTAATTTCCCGTCTCATTCAGGTAAGGCTAAAAGAAAGTCTAGATATCAATCCATAGGCATTGGAAGATTGAAATTAATGCACAGGTTTCATCATGCTTCCATAATGAGATATGTTTACAACACATCCAATTTGCTAGACCAAATCTTCTACAAGCAATCAAGCACTGACATATACCAACATATGCCTCCTAAGTTTGATACGAGGAATCATACAGTGATACCACAAAACAAAACTATATCTATGAGGTAAGAAAGCAACCTCCATAGTCCTTGTACTCAGGACCAACTTACGAATCCGGGAGCACAAAGAGAACACTAGGGAGCCCTGTAGCACAACACAAATAAAACGGCATCAGGTAGGTATCAGGTCGAATTTTAGCAAAAACAAGGATAGTAATAACCTGCAAACTCTCCAAAGTCATCAAGCGGCCTAGGAGAGCAACACATTGTAGTGTGCAGGGCAAAGGTTGTTACTATAGACCACTAGAGACAAAGGGAGTAAACTGGAAGACCGGTGACCGGTGAAGAGCAGAGACGACACTCGCTCCCTCGCTCCCTGCATTCTCACGAACAAGCTGATAGGATAGATCCTTTAAACACACACTAAAGTTTTTAATTATTATTAGTACGAGTACTTACTACTGTGGCCACACCATCCGTTTATCTGAACTTCACCCACGTAGGAGTATACAGGTACAGTACCTACATGCGTACGCGAGGCTGTCAGCCCGAGTTGCTACGCGCAGCGACGCTGGCTTAACGATGTACAATACGTATGGGTCGGTACGGCCTAGCTCCAGGCAACCAGAAAAAAGATTATAAAGAACAACACCAGATTATAAAGAACAACACCACAGCTCAAGACAATAACTACAAGACCAGCAAATAGTTTACTTGGAAAAAGATATAACAAACACATCAAAGCTAGCAAACTACTACACCTTCTATTGCTTCCTGACACATCAATAATCACCACATCTATAACTGAATAAGTCAAATATAAAAATATATAAGAGGTTTAAATCAACTCTAAACATCTCACATATAAATAAGAAACATCAGTGGACATCTCAGGAAAAAACTAGACAGCATCAATTTGCTTTGAGGCCTTCAAAAGGCAAAAGACAAAAAGCAGAACCAGCAGCATCAGAAAGCAGCAACAACTGCAAAAACAACAATAGCAGCTCAATCAGTAGGCTTTGGGGCTCTCAAAAGGCAAAAACCAAATATCAGCACCAACAGCTTAATCAGCAACATCAGCGAGCAGCAAAAACTACAATAACAACAGTAACAACTCAGTCAACAGGCTTTGGGGCCCTCAATAGGAGAAAGACAAAAAGCAGCACGAGCAGCTAAATCAGTAGCAACAACAACCCACACACACCCACATACCCACAAAAATACGGACACACACATAGACGCAGAGAGAGAGAGAGCGCCAAACAAACACATAGACGCGCGCACACACACACAAAACCACACAAACGCACACACACACACCAGCAGCGCCAGAAGACACATAAACCCACACACAAACACAAACACACAGAGACACTCACACACACACACACTCACACCAAAGCTAGCACCCACACACAGAACAGTCACACACTAAAAAAACTCACATACAACCACACCCACACACACACTCACACACACACAAACACCAAAGTGAGCAAACACATGTACACACACAAAAAAAGACACTCACACACAAACACCCACACCCGAAGGCACTCACACACACACACACCCAAAAGCGAGTAAACACATGTACACACAAAAGAAACAAAAACACAAATAACAAACAACTAAAATCAACAAAAAAAGTTCAAACTCAAACAGAAAAACAATGCAAATCTACACAACCATATAAGTTATCAGCACCCTCAAGGCAAAGGACAAATACACATGACTGCCACATCCAAAAAAGTAAAGCCTAACAAAAAAATAGATCTACTAAAAGGAAAAGGCATAAATGGGCATAACAAAAAAAATCCAAACAACAGCTACAACTCATAAAGCTAAAAAAGTTCACATGCACGAAGGACACAAAGCTCCCAACACCAACACATAAAACATGGTAAACCTGTTTAAAAACTAGCAAAGACGAACTCAAAAACCAACTCATATAACATGTAGAGCAACACCAAATCCAAAAACCAACCTAGAGAAAACTAAAAAAAGACTTGCCAAAAAAGAGAAGACTAAAAAAGGTCCAAGACAGTAAGGTCGTGCGAAGGAACAGATTAGTTATATACAAGCATAGAGAAGTGACAAAATATCTCAAACTAAAAAAATAAAAAAATAGGTCACAAGCGCTGAGCAAAACATGATGTCAAGGCACATGTATTAATAGTTCTACTAGAGTTAGGACCCACTTATAGTACTCAAGTCTCAGTCTTAAACAGCCAGCGTAGATTAGCACGTAGAATTACAAAAGTAAACAGCAGACCTTAACTTGGAGGCACTGACCAACCAAATTTGGTTCACTCAAACCAATAATTCTTAGGGAAATACTATATAACAAAAGAACTAGTTACAAGCAAAGCTTTATTTGAGAAAACAAAGATCCAAACTCATTGTTCTAGTGTTCTTCAATTTTGGCTAAAAAATGATAGGTTCTGAAACGGTTCTCTACCTAATTAATTGGGTGATGAGCTAAATCTCAGCACATAAGACAAGTCTCATTGCACATCCATTTCCATCTCAATTAATTTGGGGTTTCAAACCTGAAACATTATCAGTCTAGAAACAAAAATCAGTCATGGGAATTTCTTCTATGTGAACAGTAGAGGATATTCTTCTGCAAAGAAAGTTATGGCATGTTTCTCAAGCAACATATTCTTAGCATTTATTCAAGCTTGTGATGAATAGCGGCACTGGAAAGAACTTACCTACCTGTACATATAGTGTGATGAATTTGACAATGCTGCCACCACAATTATGATCCACTCGCTAGATGTGTGGGATCATATGCAGTTCAAGGATGTTTGCGTTAAAGTTGCACATGTTGAGCTATATTCCAAGGCAGTTCACTTCTATTTGGAGATGATATGTGTAATGTTTCCTCACCCATCAAATAATG